TCACCAGCCAACTTTGCTGGCTGAGGAATTCTGGGAGTTGAAGTCCTCCAGGCTTAAAGTTGCCAAGGTTGGAGACCCCTGCTATATAGGTCACATATATTATTAAAATGAACATTTACTGCGAAGGAGCCTTCCAGGCCGTCTTCCAGCAACCGTTCTCCGCTTTATATTAACCGGGAGGCAGCGAAGCAAACCCCCATCCGAAGAGGCTTCTGAGGCGGAGAATTTGTAACTTTCCCATTCGCAGAAAGGTGTTTAAAAGCCACGTTTCTCAACCTCGGCAACTCCGTGGGGTCTTCAACACCCAGAATGCCCCCCAGTCAGCATGCTGAGGGGCTGAAGCCCACCCTTGAAAAACGCTGGTCCCGAGGCTTGAAAGCGAGGACTAAAACTCCTCAGAAAGTGGGGTGGTGTGTTTGTTTGTTTTTCTCCTCAGCCTCGTGCTTTCATGGTTTCCCCTCCTTCTAACCGGCTCCGAATCCACCAGCCTTCCTTCCTGAGCGTGTTCAACCTCGGTCCCGCCGCGAGTACCTCGCCACCGCCTCGCCCGCGCTGCCTTCCCGGCTGCCCAACAACCGTTAACGCCGCTCCTCAACTGCCGTTCTTTGAAACCCCCACAAGGAAAACAAGACCCACCTCGCCCGCCGGCACGCTGCTATTGGCTGCAAGGCCTCCGGCTCCTTTCTTTCTCATTGGCCTGCCCAGCTTTGCTCCGCCCCTCCGGGTATTTTATTGGACGGGGAGAGACGGCATAGAGCGTCGCACCGACGTCTCATTGGAAGGAGAGTGCTCCTCTCCCGAACGCCGCGATTGGTGGGCCTTCTTCGGGCAAGGCGCGAGGATAGCCCGCGAGAAAAGGGGGTGGGTCGTGGAAGTGGAGCCCAACCCCCTTCGGACGTCACGTGGGCACGACAGAAAATGGCTGCCCAGAATTTCCCTTGCTCTTTCCTACGAGCGGCTGTTCGGGGGTTTGCCCACAGTCCGGCCGTGGCCACTCCGGTGACCGCCGAGCAGATGGCGGAGAAGCTGCGGGAACAGAAGAAGCCAAAAGCGGTCCCGGAGGTGAATCTGTGGGCTTGACTGGGAATTATAAAGTGGAGGCGGGGGGCGATTTTCCTAGCATGCGCCACGGAGAAACTACACTTCCCAGCGTGCATTGGTGGCCAGAACTCTGAACATAAAGCGAATTTATATGCAGTGCAGCAATGGAAGTTTTGTGAAGTGCAAAATGCTAGAAAGATTTGTTGAGATGCGGGAATAAAGACGTGTGTTATCCTCCCTGTTCGCTGGGAAGGACTCAGATAACAGATAATCAGAGTTGGAAGAGACCTTGTAGGTCATCTAATCCAGGGGTCTCCAACCTTGGCCACTTTTAAGACTTGTGGACTTCAACTCTTCTTTAAAGTCTCAAGTGATGACGTTCCCACAACTTCTGTGGGCAAGCTGTTCCATAACAGCTTCCATTGGGAAGACCATTGAAAGACACCGTTTGTCCAGATCTGACTAGTGATTTGGCTCTGGACAGGTAGAATAGAACAGAATAAAACTTTGGCACTTTAAACCTAGACTAATCGGCATACATTAAAAGGAAATTTCGTTGCTTTCAGCTCTCAAAAGATAACCATTATGCATAGACACACGTACACACACATAGATGTGACTATCCTTCCTATTCATAGCATTTCTTTGCCCGACATCCTGTTACCTTTCCAATAAAATCATATTTTATATTTATAGGAATATTTATATTTTAGGCTTTCCTGGACATTAAAAGTGCATCAAAGCAAACTGCAATAATCTTCAGCTTGGCTGGAGTATACATTCTCTTTAGCTGTTCAGTTTTGTTCCATCAGATTTATTTGAATCTGTCTTTGAATACCAATCAGTGGATTCTCCAAACTTGAAAAAGCAGACTTTTAAACAAATGAGATGGAAGAACTGCTATCTCTCTCTCCCTCTCTTAAACCACCCTATCATTTTGTCCTGTAGCACCTACACATCCATTTTCACCCTTCCCAAAAAAAACCCTCTAACATATGTATTTTCTATGTGCCACCTTATTTGGCACCTTGCCTTTTATTCGTTTCTGCTTTGTTGTATGCTGTTGCTGCCAAAGCTGAGCAATAAAGAGACTAACTATCTGACTTGTTCTTTATTGACTATTCAAAGGTTCCAAAAGACCGAGTCTTGAGGCGGGTGCAAGAATATGTTCAGCAGACTCGATGCTTCCAGAAGCTCCATCCTAACGTCCTAGCCAAGGTTCTCAAAAAGGGAATCATCTATACGAACAAAGATATTGTAGTAATAAACAAGCCTTATGGACTTCCCGTCCATGGTAAGTGTAGTATAATGCTGATTTTCTAGTAATGTTGATAAATTATTAGACTGGTTGGGTAATAAATGTCCTGCTGAGAAGTCAAAAGATTTGGTATCTGTTACTGAGGCTGTATAGGAATTCATCCTGTGTGTCATGCCCCTGTTAGAATCTGACTCTGGGGGAGAGGAGAAACAGCTGACAGGGAGTGTGGCTCCGGAGGTTATGAAGGAAACTGGGGAAGGGCACAGGCTGGCTGGGCATTCAGAGGAATACCCAGGCCCATCCCCTCTTCATCCTAGGGCACACAGGGAGGAGCAGATAAGGGAGAAATGTGAATTGGATGGTCTACGGGGCAGGAAAGGGCCTTGATCCCCTTCATGGGCTGCAGCTGTGAAGATTATTTAAAAGGACAAACTGCGCATGGGCCAGTGCTGGAAGCAAAGCGTGAAAATATTTATAGTCTGCCAGTTCTTATCTGAGTTCTGGCATCCCCAGTGTGTGTATTTCAATATCTGTGGACATCTTCAAGCCCTTATCCTGCCTTGTCTCATTAATTCTTCAGTGTGGTTTGTGTTGTTTTTTTTCTAGTTATATGTATTTTGAGTTTGAATGGAAGTTCTTCCTTTTTGCAACTGTTTGTGGGGGAGTTTTTACTCCAGTCAATGGTAATTGGACCTTTGAAGCCAAACTGGAGGAATTAAAGGGACTTCACCTGTTTTTGTGAGTTTGTTGCTTTTGTATCCCACCCTGGGTCATCACACTATGGAACTAGGTTTTATTTTGCTTTCAGAATGTAGCTTGAGACTTCCTAATTATATATGTGGTAGATACTTTATATTGTTGATTCTCTAAGCAAACACTGTTTTTGTTTTGGTATACTGCGTAGACTGGTATTAAAAGCAATAAAAATAACCTGAGATTCATCATCTGTCTGAGCATCTATGTTTTCATGGTAATATAGATATTGGAGTGGCAGCAAAAAACACCCAACACTCAGATTACACTGATATGTGTTTCCCAAGTAGCTTAACATAAAAATATATATATTTTCCTGAAATTGGTTCAACTTGAGTTTGATGCACAAATTTGGAAATGCTGTAGCATAAATAAAAAACATAACTTTGAAAATTATGTTATTTGTGTTGAGTGTAAAATAGTTTGGTTTAGCTTAATGGAATAAATGAACCTAACAATTATTTGTAAACTGGGATTTTGCATTATAGGTGAACCTAGATTATCTCTGCTTCACAGGTGGCCCTGGCGTGAAGACATGCGTTACAGATGTGCTGCCAGTACTGGCCAAGATGTTAGATGGCATGAAAGCTGAACCTCTGCACTTATGTCACCGGCTGGACAAAGAAACTACTGGAGTGATGGTCTTAGCAAAAGATGAGATGATTGCACACCGGGTCCAAGAGATGTTCAAAACCCGTCAGGTGGAAAAAAAATACTGGTAAGAGAAATCTTACAAATGACAAGTAATTTGTTATTGGGACTTGATCATGTTGTTATTGGGACTTGATCATCAAATTTACTAAGGACCACACTTCTACAGTTTGAATTATAGTATGAGTAGAATCCAGCAGCCCTTGGTCTTCATGCAGAAAGTGTTGCTTACTATTGGAGAGAACTGAAATCCCTCCCTGTTGTTTTCACAGGGCAATTTGTATTGGAAAACCAGAGCCGGAAGAAGGGCTAGTGGACATTCCCATTATGGAGAAAGAAGTGGACAGCCACCAGTCGCATTTCAAAGTGAGTATTCCTGGCAGCAGAGACTTGCCGGTTGTAGCCATAGTATTTCGCTTGGAGACCACTGATTTAGTTATTGCTTACTGGAGAGCGTTTATGCAGGTTTAGGATTAGCACCCTTGATTCAGGGAACTCACCAGCATCTTCACCAACATGGATACCAGTTCCTGAAAGAAGTGCTGAACAACTTGTACCCCAAGTATCATTAAAGTAAAGGTAAAGGTTCCCCTTGCACATACGTGCTAGTCATTTCCAGCTCTAGGGGGTGGTGCTGATCTCCGTTACAAAGCCAAAGATCCAGCGCTGTCCGAAGACATCTCCGTGGTCATGTAGTCGGACATGACTAAACGCCGAAGGCACACACAACCTTCCCACCAAAGGGGTCCCTATTTTTCTACTTGCATTTTTTACATGCTTTCAAACTGCTAGGTTGGCAGAATCTGGGACAAGTAACAGGAGCTCACTCCGTTACATGATGCTAGGGATTCGAACTGCCGACCTTTCTGATCGACAAGCTTTGCGTCTTAACCACTGAGCCACCGCGTCCCCTACTAAGTATCACTACTGTACCATAATTGCACTAATTTGTGGAGTGCTTTATTTGGAGAGGGGTTAGTGCCTTCAAATCAGTCTTAATTCTTAGCAACTGGCTTGACAAGTCCTTGCAGTCTTCTAGAATCTAGATAACATTTCAAAAGTTTTTTTGCCATGGCCTTCATCCTAGGGCTGAGAGAGGACTGATCCAAGATCCCTCATTTGGCTTCATGCCTGAAGTAGGAATAGAACTCTCAGTCTCCTAGTTTCTGGACTGATGTCTTCACCACTACATCAAACTGACTTTCCTGTTATACATATAATATTTATGTATAACTGGCGGGCCCACTTCAAATTGAGAGCAAGCATTAGTCTCTAAAAGGCCCACAGTTCTTACGTTGCCTGTTCCCCTCTAGCTGCCATACCTAAATGAGGTGATTTTGGATGTTCTGGATTACCAGTGGAGCAATTCAACGGTTTTCTCCATTCTATGTAACCTATTAATCTTCTCAACTGTTGTCCTATTGGCTTTTTGGATGTTATGAAGAATTGATTTTGAATCATGTACATTTTTGACTTAGATGACACTTGCGCCAAATTATCGTCTATCTTTAGAAGACAAAAAGTTGCGCAAAGTGCGCCGGAACAGAGATGCTCAGTTGGCAGTGACTCGGTATCGTGTGCTAAGCAGCTGGTCCACTTGTTCTGTTCTTGAATTGGAACCAATCACAGGTAAGCAATTACATGCCCCTTTCTTTGATGCTTCCCATTGCCTATCCTGTTCTCTTACAGTTGGTGTTAAGAAACATCAAATCAATACCCATAAACCTCAAGCATCTGAGAATCTGACCTTTTTTTAATCTTGTTTTTTCCCACTGAAACTAAATGAAATGCTATCAGATTGAAGCCTTAATTATGGTTTGATGTATGCAATAATCAAAAATTTGCATCATTACAACAGTAAATAAAATGGTAGATATTGCAAAAAGCATGGAAGAATTGAGAAAAACAGTGAAATAAGAAAATATAAAGGCTGTTATCCTAGTATAATATAACACAAGGTCAAAGTTAATAGACAAAACTGCCTGGTGGAAGAGAAATATCTGTATACTTGTCATGTCCCTTAAGGGAAGACATTGTATTATTAAACTACTGATATCCCTTTCTGCCTTTTTTCTGCTAAAATTTGGATATCAAGCTGTTTAAATCAAACAAAGCTTCAATTTTCCCTCAAGATAAATTGCATATGAAAGTCATACTGTGTAACTGACCAAAACCAACCAAATATATTGAATAGTCATGCCTCTTACCTTTTTCCCCATACATTGTTCATTATGCAGGAGTGAAGCATCAAATCCGAGTCCACTTGGCTTATGGCTTAGGTTGCCCAATCCTTGGGGATCACAAGTATTCTCACTGGAGCAAGCTAGCCCCACAGGTAAGAGGGGGGCGGGTATTAAGAAGAACCCGGGGTGGATGTGGGCATGAACTAAAATCCAAAAACATGATAGAGTGAAATGGGCTTCAGGGTAGTTAGGATTGCCAAATAATATTTTGCTGGACTCATCATAATTAGAAATGCAAGTGGATCATCGTTTCTTTTCCTTTTTTTATGCACATACAGAAACTCTCTCAAGGTACACTGAAGAAACTGGGTTTGGAACAAGTCAAAGCCCGTTACCTCCCTCTCCACCTACATGCCTGCAATCTCACCCTGCCTCCGATAAACAGCAACGAGGAGCAGAAAATCCACTTACTTTGCAAGCCACCCATCTTCTTCAAGCTCTCCTTAAAACGGCTAAAGCTAGAATTACCAGCATCAGAACAAAAAGAAACGAAGACTGATTAGCTATGCTACTTTGTTAATGGGACTCCTTTCCCTGACTTTATAAAGTCCCCATGAAAGGGGAAGCACCTGGAACCAGGTGTTCTCAGCTGTAAAATCACCACATATGCTTCTCTGGAAGCTTGCAGCCTTTCAGAGGAAATCTTCCTGTCTGGCAGCTGAAAATAGAACCAAGGAACGGTCACAGATCCCCCAGGGCCTGTTTGCTGGTTTCAGTTGAAGTTGGGAGATTTGAAAGGATTAATACAGTTTATATGAGCTGCTATACCTGGAATAACAGTTAGTTGGGCACATTTTTTTCAGTATTTGAGAGTCAACATATACCTGACGCTTAGTCAAACAGAGTTAGTCTACTTAAATAAAAGATGAGGCCTGTGCTGCATGAATGTGATGTAACTGGAACAGAGATATTGGGGAGAGGAGAGGAATACTCAGAGGTTCCTTATGATTGGGGTATGCAATAATCGATGGAGCTATGAATTGGGGAGTTCTTGGTTCACATCTCGCTTCTGCTTTGAGCTTATAGGATAGCGTTAGGAAAGTCAACCTCAATTTTCTCTCGCAAGTGCAATAGAACACAAAACTGCTTTATCCAAAGTCTGGCTATTGATCTGCTAGTGAGAGTCAAACTGCCAAATTGCAGGCAACTGGCAGGCAGCAGAAGTAGCCTGCGGTACTGCATTCTAACCACTGTACCACCATGGCTTTTATTGTAAAGGCATTGTAAAGATTACAGATAGCCTACACAAAATGTCTTACATATTCTCAAACATGGATGGTTTTAATGCATCACTGAAGCATCGCTGTTGCTTTGTCTCTTCAGTTGCCAGTTGCAACAAGCCAATCTTTACTTTCACTGGATTTTTTGGGTTATCGCATTCCTTAAACCTAGGTTAATAACCCAAAATTGAGTGAAAGTGGTTTATCTATAGGTAATACCACACAAACCAATTACAACTGGGACATTTAAATTGGCTAAACATGTTTTACCTACATTGAGTAAAAAGGTCTTTTTGATAAGTGGTTTTGGATAATGAAGCAAAATGTTTAGGAAGCACAACCCTAAACTAAGGAAAGACAACTTCCATTAGCATTTGGGCCCTGCTAGACTGCCTTGTTGAAAACCTATTCTGGGAAGACATTATAAGGTGCAAACAGATTTGATACTCACTGGCAAGTCTTTATAAACTTTTTTGTCTGTTAAATGCTTTGAAATTCACCCCTTCAAAAAAGTAATTTTACAGTATAATTATTCTTTTGTATTGCGTGAGTGCCAGTGAGCCACCATGTTTCCTGCTAAGGGTTTTAAAACAAAACATCAGTTGATTTGGGTGTATGTGGTATGCACATACATTGAGAATTGGAAATAACTAAGTAAAAAAATTTAGAGACTCTACTGACTCATTTCTGGTATCTTTGATTCCTGTATTTTTCCTACCATATGTATCACTTTTGGGCATAATATGTATATATGCTATCTTTTTGGGCTTAGCATTACAAAAACTGCAACCCGAGTCCACTTCCATCTTATTTGCTTTTGATTACTCTCTCTTTTTTTCTAATTAGAGTAAAACACCATGTGGTGGCATTTAGGGCTACAAATCTAAGGAAATGCCATTATTTAACTTTATGGCTGATAGTCAGTAGAACTGTAAGTGGCATTTTATTACAGTATTTCTGGAATGTGGGATAATTGCATAATATTGGGAAATACCAAATTTCAGAACTACTAACTAATCTCTGATTTTTTAAAAATTTTGAGATTTTAGGCCCATTTTTTATTCTAAAGGGTAGCCTTGCATATAGCAATAAGTAGCAATAAGAATATTCTGATCTTCTATAAAGTGATCCCACAAGTGTTATTAAAATAATTTAGAATGGTTCTTACAAAAATTAGAATAACAGACTGGGCTTGACTGTATTTACTGCAAAAAATATGTTGGTGTCCACTGACAAACTTTATTAAAGGAGTAGCACTATACAAAAATCAGAAGTAGTTCGGGGAGAAAACAGGACACTGATTTATGTGTAAAGAATATTGGAGGTCTTGGTAGCCCTAGAAAGCCACATATATGCAAATTCAGCCACTGCAGTTTACAGGAGGAGAGATACGTTAGTCTATGATCAAAGCATAAACTTTTCTGAATTACACAGCAGTTCCTCAGATGCAGGGAATGCCTAAACTAACATAGATTGTTAACTAGGATAATATGGAGGGGGAAGATGTGGTATGTGTGAGAAAAATTACCTTATCAATTATAGTGTGCTAAAAATGTGCAGAAACCCATGAAAACTCTGAGGTTGCCCGGAATCTTTCCATATGTTAAGCTTTGGAGATTTAACATGTTATTTTGCTTCTTATTTTAGCAAAGAAAATCACACAGCTGGGAATTGGGTTTGCCACCAATTCAAGCAATATGCTTTAGGAGCAGCAGTAATTTGTCTGATGGCCACATGCAAGTTGTGGATTATCTAAGTTGCAGATCCTTATAACTATGTTTTAGAACTGGGATGGGAAGGTTGAGAGAAAGAGGAAAATGCAATGAAACTTTAGAATCATCTGGTTTTATGGCAAACACAGAAAAAAGAGTTGCAGATTCACATTACTAAACCACAAAAATAAAACCCTTAGGTGTTCTGAGTGGGATTCTCTCTCCCACCTTTACCTTTTAAGATATAAACTGTTGACCAGCCATCTGATACCCACCCCTGGAAATTGCTGGATCTGAAAATCGAATACACTGGCTTACCTCTTTACCAGTGGTGGCTAGAAATAACATCTGCTTATGAAAGAGGGAGATAAAACCACACGGCCCAGCCTTGCCATGTTAAGCCTGTGGTTGGCCAGAAACAGTGGAGTCCTTTACCAATCACAGCATACCCCCAGTCAACGGCTCTATTTCTGGGCTGAGGGTAGTTGCAGAGAACAGGTTGCCCTGTAATTATCATTCTGTTTAGCAAACAGCCAAGCTGGTCATTTACAACTGCCTGATGCTTAATTCCCCATGGAGGAAACCTAAGGCATCCATCGTCAAGACATCTCCCACCTTAGATGCAGCTGAGCCCTTGGAGAAGCTGCCTCTTCTGTTGTGTGCGTGCTTGGCCCCTTTAGAACAGAACCATGTCAATTGCACACACGGCTGGCAATTACATGCTCTCGGATGCGCTGCTGCCAGAGCCAAACAGGTCCAGGGCAAAAGGGCTTCACTTGGAGCTGCCATGCGATCGCATCATGAAGTTTGTCACAGTGGGGCTCCCACTCTTCTTGGTGTCTCTCATGTTTGCCCAGGAATTTTCCACTGGTAGGTCGATTTATTATTCTTTGAAGAGGGTGGAGGGGTGACCAATGTTGTTTCTCGAGGCCTTCCGAGGGGCTGAAGGAGATGCCAGCAGGGGGGGCAAGGACAACATTTTCATTCTTTTTTTAAAAATGAGTTTACTGCAAGCCCAGTACGCTAACTTGAAACAGATTTCGATACTGAATGTAGCATTTGCAAAATCAATCCAGGAGTTTCATATCTGAAGCCTTGACTCTCTGGATTCACTGTGGACTTCAATAAATATAGGATTGAATTATGAAGCGCATTCAAACCACACCGTACAATTTTAATATATAAAATGTGACATTAGACATTTTACTTCTAGCGGACAGTGATGTGATTTTACTTTTAGCAGACAGTGATGAAGAAAATATGTCAATCATCAGCCTGACTGGTGCTTCTAATATAGGGAAAATTAGATGTTTCAAGAGACACAGTTAAAAATTATTCCATATACAGGATTTCATTGCAGTAAGTAGTAGCTGATTGCAGTTCTTATCCAATGGGCTTCTCCAACCAACAAAGGGGAAGCTCTGAGATGACAGTTCCAACAGATTTAGAGAATATCAGTCGGAGTAGCTTGGAGAAATCCAGCTTCAAATTTTCACCCAGTCATGAAGTTCATTGGGTGGCCTTCAAACAATCACTGCTATCTTTCAGTGAGATTTTTGTGATGCAAGGGCTGAATCCAAATATGTATCTTGGAAAAGAGACACTGGAATACTGATGTTTCTTTTTCCAAATAAGTCCCATTAAGTTTGGTAGCTGCAATTCCAGGTATTTTTCCTTGGAAACAAGACCCATTAAACACCGCAAAAGAGATAATTCAGAAGAACCAGCACTACACCGAATAAGGGAAGACATAAAGGTACCTATTCCAGAAGCAACAGTGTCTCGTTTGATAGTATGTACCCAAAACAGGATGATCCGTGTGTGGTTTTGCACAAATCTGACATTGGTTAGATGAGGTTTCATGGCTGCAATTTCACAGCCTGCCTCAGGAATTCATTTCTGGAAAAGAATGCCTGTGTGAGGTTTAGTCGATCCAGATGGAATAAACAAAACTTATTTCTCTCTCTGGCTTGCCTCAAAGCTTGTAAAATATTTTTAGGGATTGATTTTTTTTTTTTTAGCACACCCAGCCCACAGAGATGATGAACAGAAAGAGTTTACAAGAACTGCCACAGTAGGGACAGCATAATGGGCCCAATTTCTTAATTACTTTAAAAAATGGGGAGCAGTTTGATGCCAAATGTTGGCTAAGAGGGATTAAGGTTGGGCACGGATCTCATCTTGGTAGACTGCAAAGACCATCCATGCTGAAGGTGGTTCAAAACATAGCAGAGAAGCTCTCCGTTTTTACTATCGTAGAAGAAGCCGATGGATGTTGTTGCAGTGTTAGAAAGAAGGATGAAGATGAGTATGATTCTCTTTCTCTATCATAGGATCCCAAATCAGTTGCTTCTCTCCTGGCAACTTCACAGCAGAGCAGTCTCATTTTGTTGATGCCGTGTGCTGGGACTCCTTGCTTCGCTACAATTCTGAACCTGCGAGGGATGCTGCATCCAATTCCCTCTGGGTCTTCAAGGTAACGGGGTGAAGAATGCCATCCGTTATCTCTTGGGTGCACAACAGGTGGATCCCGGGGCATAATTGGTAGTAGTCTACCCCAGTGTATCTCAATCTTGGCCACTTTAAGAGGGGTGAACTTCCAACTCCCAGGAATTCTGGAAATTGAAGTCCACCCCTCTTAAAGTGACCAAGGTTGAGAAACGCTGTTCTACCCTTCAACCGACCACACTCTTCTCGTTCTGTTTTTCTAGGTCTTCCCATATTCTTTGCTGGTCATTGCAGTTGCCATGTATCTGCCTTATCTGCTGTGGAAGTATGCAGCTGCCCCCTCACTCAACTGCGATTTGTTCTTCATCATTGATGAACTAGATAAATCCTACAATCGTTCCATCCGCTTGGTGCAATACATGGTGAAGCTCCAGCAATCGGAAGAGGATCCAGAGGATTTTTGGGAGGAGCTTGACCTGTAAGTGACAGGCGGATCTGTGATCTGCATGCTAAATTTCCATTTCCATTCCCAGAATTTTCACTTACAAAACCACAGATAATAAGAAAGTATTACATTGTAAATTTCTCCCTGCGTTCGTATTAGAATTAGAATTCTTAGATTGGACACACAAGGAATTTGTCTTGGTATATAGCAGTGATTATTCTTGAGGTTATTCTTCATTAATCTCCAGGACTGTCCTTTTCTGGGTTGGTTGTTTTTAAGTCCCACACATGGAAAAAGTAGCACATCGCTAGAAGAGTGCTAGTTTATCCTTATTTTTGTTGTTTTTCCCCCCAAGGGCTCGCAGTGAGAGATACTTTGAGTTCCCTCTCCTGGAGAGATACCTGACTTGCAAGCAACGTTCCCATTACTTGATCATCATTTACGTATTGAGGAACCTCTTCCTCCTCTTTCTTCTGGCTGTCAGCTGCCTCTACTTGGGATACTGTCACTTGCAGGTCTTTTTTCATGATAAATTCAGATGTTCAATCAAGGAAGGGCTTCTCGAAGAATCTGATGTTCCAGACTGGATTCCTTGCAAGCTGGTTTTCTTCTCCATTTTCCAAGTTACCAGCATCTGCCTTGGGTCTGTGTACATCCTTCTGGGCCCAGTTGTCCTCTACCACCTGCTTCAGCTGTGTCAGTGGGACAAGCGGCTTCTGTCCATTTATGAAATGCTGCCAGCATTTGATCTCCTGAGCAAGAAAATGCTGACTTGCCCATTTAATGATCTCAACATCATCTTACTCTTCCTGCGGGCCAACATCTCCGAAGTCAAATCTTTCAGTAGACTGAGCGTACTGAGTACTCTCAAGGATATTTCACCCAACAAAGAAAGCATAGACACAGTCGTGGATTTTATGACCCTCCTTGCTGGCCTGCAGCTAGCAAAGCCAAAGCATAATTCCAATGCCAACGAGAATTTGCTCCATCTTGAGAATGAAGCTGGTAAGTAAAACCCACTGAAAACTGCTGAAATCTGCTGGTTTCTCCAGGTATTTTTTTTTTATTGTGCAAAATATATTTCTTGTTACTCTAGTTCATGTTCAAAGTGCATTCTTTTGATGAGATATCTGTACCTTCTCTTTCGTTCCAAGGGAGCAGAAGGCAACCATGTAAATTGTGGCACCAATACTCTGCAGCCCCTATTGGCTGCTGCATTCCAAATCTCCACTGGGTCTTTGTTGGAATATAACCAGATATAACCCAAACTACTGCAGTCTGAGGTTGTGCACTTTTTAAAATATAAGCCGAGGTGTTACTTTAATCAACACTTGCTATTATTGGATAGGCCTCACAAGTTCTCCTCCTTTTATGGAAAGCTCTGGGAATTTTCTTTCCTTGAAAGTGAGGAGGAGAAAGCATATGCACTATCACTTTCTGTACCTACTGGGGAAGGATTGGGGGTGGAATCATTTATTTCCCACATGACTGACCTGGTTTATGGTGGTTTTTGTGGTGGTTGCTAAGCAAAGCACTGCTGTCATTATGCAAATCCACTGCTTGCTATGGGGAGCTTTTGCCAAAAGTCAGAAGTAAACTCTGGTTTTCAGCAAGAACGTCGTAAATTGTAGTTGGTTGCCAAATGCCCAAAATGTGGTCATGAGACTGTAGAGGGCGGGGCCTGTTGGAACTTCAGTCATAAAGACCTTTTGGGGGGATCCTTCATAACTATGAACACTCACTAAATAGCTGGTCAAAAGTCAAAGATCAACAGTTCATACTGTTTTATTGGACTATTATATGCTACCACAGTCACTTTTCTCGAGATAGGAAGTCATATAGATTTGCTTAATAAATAATTAAATATGTTCCCCTTCAGACTCCTGGAGGAAAATAATTCAAATATCTGAATTACAATATCCAATTCCAATCTAGGAACTCATTCTAGGAATGCATCATTTTAAAGTTTTCTTTCTTTCTTTTATACCAGAAATGAAATCTATTTTGGAAACCAAAGAAAACTGACTCAGGAATGGATTCGATAGAGCAGCAAAACCGCAGAAAAAAATGGAACTAGTGAAGAGCACTGAGCGTAAAGAAAGACTTTTCTAAGACTTTTCCCTGGGTGTATTTTGGGTCATCTTTATTTATTCTTTTTTGGAAGGCAAGCAACTGTTTGTTTTCTGGTATTACATCCATGAGTTTCACCCTTATAATAAATATAAGTGTGCAGGTTACCTAATGGAACCCTAAATTTTGCATTTTTTACAGTCTCACTTTCTTATAAAGCTAGATTTATATTTCCTCTATGACAAATTCAACACTTCTGGTCCTTTAGATCTTTTGCTGCTTTCCTTAAGCTTGTAAGATCCTTGTTTTAAAAGTAGACTTTTGTTATCTCAAGTTTTCTACTCTGAAATCACTAAGAAGTATATAAAAAATAAACCTCGTGCATTTTTAAAATACTGGATGCACACAATCCATGATGGAAACAGTTTGAAATGCACCTTAATTCCTTTACACAAGAAAGTGAAGCTTAAAAGCTGGTTGAAACTGATAAAGCTGAATCATCTTTTCAATGTTATACAACTTTGGATGATTGATTTAAAATTATATTCTTTAAACTTGGCACTATCATCATAAAGACCAGTGATTAGGTTCACAGGTCTATTCATCCATTGTTTACTACATAAAATTATAATCAGCTTAGATAAGCCACGACCCCCTTTTTAAAAAAATAAGTGTTAAAAACATGCTGAGCCAAAGCCAAACATGGTAGTTTAAGTACAACGTATGAATGAGGCTTATGCTTCTTGTACTCACTAGTTGACTTATCAGAGCTGAGCCGCAAGTTCAACCAGAAGCAGACTATTCAGAGAAAATTCTGTGTTCTAAATAATTTATGGTTTTAAATATTAGGGGCTGGGGGCTTGGGGGAGTTTGTACGTGGTGCCTTCATGTCAGACTTGAATCTTAGGAGGCTGTAGAGACTTTTTCCTGAAGGTGTTGTGTTTGCACCATTTTTGTACGTGATTTTCTCTTGCCTTCTTCCCAGGGCTTACGAAGGACTGGTCCAAAGTCCCCACAGTTTAGTTCCTAATGTGGGACTAAGGCTAAGGCCAATTTCTAACCCTGTGCCTTTAACAATGACACCAAACTGGCTTTCTTAGAGTTTAAGACCAACCTTTTAAATTGTTCCTGGGAAGAAGGGAAGACAGAAATCCAATACAATTAAGCTAATGCTCTTCTCTTCAGCATTCAGCAGCGACATGGGTGTTGTGTTTTAGATGGATAGTTTTGATAAGCAGCCAAATTGCTGCAAAGTGATCATGAATTATAGCAGGTATAAATAACACTAACAAGGAAGATCAATTGTCTAGCAAATCCATTAACAGAATCTCACAGGTAATTGAATCAGATTGCCTTCAATGCTCAGTGGAAAGGCAACATATAAACAAGTGTGACAACATGGAGAGAAAGGTACCACCTTAGATTCTCATGTAAGATATCAAAGCATAAAGGCACTGAAATGATCTACGCAAAAGAACGTATGCATCAACTGTCAAAATTAACCATAGCTTAGTTTTCTTTTTTTTCATATAGAGAATAAGATCTTGGACTTACAAACATATAAAAGAAAACACACTATATTATTTATAGCGAGGATGGGCATATTTAGAGGAGGGCAAGGAACTGTAGAGTGGGCAATTCAGGGACAGGATTGTCACCCTTGTGTTTAACCAGAAATCTTTTTCTCTTGAAGGTTTTTTTTTTTTTTTTTGCAAATAGCTCTGCTTGGAAGCATCCTGAAGCTATCTGCATTTATCTAGCTCAGGGGTGTCAAACTCGCAGCCTGTGGGCTGGATGCATCATGCGCTGGCGATGCCTACGCCCATTTTAACAAAGGGGAAAGAAGTCACGATACATTATGTCACAGCCACATGACGACGCAAGTTTGACACCCCGGTCTAGACCTTGTGAGAAAAATATGCTGCAGCCCATACATTATTAGAGGGGGGGAGTGGTATGGTGGCCTAGAATGGAGCTCCTGTCTCACAATCAGGAGGCTGTGAGTTCGATCCTAGGTAGAGGCAGATATTTCTCTCTCTGGGCACAATGAGAATGTATCTGCTGAACAAAACTCTGCACTGGCGACAGGAAAGGCATCCGGCCATTAAACACTCTGCTAGCTCCATTCATTTGCCCAGACTTCTCCCCACAAAGGATTATGGGGTCATTAAAAGATGATGATGATGACACATTATTAGAGGGAAGACCTAAACTTAAATCTGTGGCATCAAATTCCTTTATACAATTCCCGCCAGGGTGAATTATTAAATAATCAAACTTTTAGGCAAGAGGGGATTATTTTAATGGAGACTACTTAAATCAGAAAGACAATTTGTAACTTTTAATCATGGGTGGAAGTCATACCACTTTGCTATTTCAGATAATTTCCTCAACAACAACAACAACAAGCATACCAATTGGCACAACAAACGCAAGTATAGCTCATTCATGTTTACATGGTACAGGATCATTATCTAAAATATTTACCTATGCAAACCACAGCAATCTAAACACCCACAGATTTCTAGAACTATGAAAGAAGAGCAATTGTAAACCAAGAATTTTTGTCTGGCTCTTTCTGTACATTTGTGAAGATTTTATCAAATGTAGGCCCTGCTCCAGTTTACTCTTAAATACATAACAGGTAGTCCTCAACTTGCAATCACAATTGAGCCTTAAAATTTTGTTGCTAAGCGAGACAGTTGTTAAATGAATGTTGCTTCATTTTATGACCTTTCTTGCCACAGTTAAGTGAATCACTGCAATTGTTAAGTAATACCTTTGTTAAGTGAAGCTGGCTTCTCCAATTGACTTTATTTATTTATTTATTTAATTTTGATCATGTGACCATGGAAAGCTGCAATGGTTAAGTGTGAAAAAGAGTCTTAAGTCTTTTTTTTCAGTACCATTGTTAATGTTGAACAGTCACTAAACGAACTGTTCTAAGTCAAAGACTACCTGTACAGTGTTTGGAGTTTACTCCCAGATACAAACGCTAATTACTAGAAGGTTTGGGACAAATTACTACAATGTTCCATGTAATGTGATTCTAACTGCTAGGCAAATATCCATGCTTTTAGATAGAAAATCATCACTCCCTGCATATTAACTTACACATAAGTGTGTGCTGAATAACTGCATACTTTTGAATGAATGAATGCAAATGATGAATTTTTTTTTTCCTTGGAAGTTGTTCTGCATAGAAATTTGGGGATTAATTTGAGATGCATGCCAGACGCTTACGGATTCATTTTCAAAGAATTATTCTATAGACAAACATATATCTTGCTGTGGTCTGCAGATTTCATTTTGGATATTTTTATCTAGGGTATAACTATCCATTAAATTAAGCATGACTTGATTTTTTTTAAAAAAAAGAATGGATATTACATGCAAACACTCCATATCCTTTCATTTGCAGTTAAATTGCCGTATTTGCCCTGGCTGTCTCAAACAGCCATGTAATTATAGGGAATGTTAACACTGTGCTTTTTCATTCCAACTCTTAAATTTGTTAAACAAAGAGCCATACAAGGGCTCAAAAATATAGGCACAGCACTGCAAAACATTTTAAATGAATATTCCACCCAGGGATTTTTTTTTCAGAATCACAACTGAAATTCTCAGACACACCTCCTACTTGCTCCCTAATTTAGGAAACCCGTCTAAATCATGGACCTCAGAAACCCCCTCCTATTATGGGTAATCTGAAGTATATCTCCATTTATATTCAGCCCACCCTTGTCATAGGTCAGTCTTACTCTGCTACATGAGGGACAAGATCAATCCAGGAGTGACAGCTGTTCCACAGTAAGGATGGATGGAGAAGTCACTTGGTCCATATTTAATTATAAACTTAATTCTGCATTGTCAGGTCAAGAGACAAGCTGAAACTTACTTCTACTTTGAAGTATCAACTTCTCTGAATTTTGCAAAACTCATCTATTTATAAAAAGGGGAAAGTGTACAAAAATGCCAGTATTAGTGAAAACAGCAGTTATTAGGAAAAAAACCAATTATTGCACTGAAACATACACTTTAGCTCATTGAAAAATGATTGCACAGATTTAAAAATAAAATGTCAATTTTGATTCCAGCTTTAAAAAAATACCTAATATGGAAATGGGACATTTGAAATTGTTAAATCAATGAAACGAAGAATCCACAACACACTGAAACTGATAGATTCACCCATCTATATTCCACAACCCAATGCCAGAAGTTAGTTTTCCAAGAGCGAAGTCAAATAATCTCTACCATCTGGTATCCTCTAGCTGAAATAAATCGAGCACATAAAATATCTTTCTTCTCTTGCCCTCAAGTCTTTGTTATTTAAAACAGATCAATCCATGATTATTTCTTCTTATACACTGGGAAACCTCAGGGATTTGCCTGTCTGTCTGGGAGCTGAAGTCCACAAGTCTTAAAAGTTGCCAAGCTGGAGATCTCTGGTCTAAACAGTACACCCAACAGACACCATTTTACTCTGATCCAGGGAACAGCTCTGTAAAACAATTGTTTCCCATTTTCTACTTTGGTTAACACAACCCTGTTTGCCAGATTGCTCTTCTAAAACAAACATACAACATATATATATATATAAGTGAGGAAATCTAGTTGATCCAAACCCAACATAGGGAAAACCTTCCTGGCTTTTGGCTGAAGCCAGGGATTTTGCTTGAAAAAAGAAATATACTTCTATGTTCTTATTTTTGTAAAGCGACATTGTGCTTTTAATGTAACAGTTCCTATTTGAAAGGGGTTTTTTTTTTGCTGCAAGAATTATTTCCTGCAAGTGGTAGTATCACATAATGTGGATTTGGAATACAATGAAACCCCAAACCCGGATTTTAATCTGGTCAATAATAGTTCGCTCCATGGCAGATAAGATGCAGTCTAGATATCACTTTAATGCATCTGCCAACATCACTCACCTTGGCAGGAATTGACATCTAGCAACACCTGGAAGGCCATAGCTCAGCCAT